CATTTTTTTTTTCAGTCTTGTTAGCAGCGTCGGTAGCTCCAATGAACCATCATGGACTTCAACCCCTTGGAACTATTACTCATGGAAAACTAATGTTCTATATTTTCCCTAAAAATATGAACTCAAAAGCTTGACATTTACAGGATGTGAAGCAAGATTGTTAACGTTGTTAGCCCAGAAATAGGCAGGAACAGAGCAAGGCTGCAACAATTGTTTACCTTTGGAAGACTGATTTGCTGCTGATGTAAGAACCCTGATGGACCCAACTGAACTTCATATGGAGATCAATGACCGAATCATCACCATTAGCCTGATGCTCACCAACAACGAGATGGCTACGGTTGTGAGCGCTTATGCCCTGACCCTTGACTCAGAGGAGGAAGTAAAGGAGACTTTCTATGCCAACTTTGACACACTGTTGTCACGCAACCCTGAGGAGGACAAGATAGGTCTTCTTGGAGACTCCAATGCCAGGGTTAGTCGAGACCACAACCTTTGGAATGGCACCATAGGAAGGGAAGATATTGGCAACATCAACTCCAGCAGAATCCTTCTTTTCACAAAATGCATTGAGTATAATCTCACCATCACAAACACACGCTTCCATCAAATTCAAAGCATCTTGGAGGCACCCACAATCGAAACAATGACATCTTATTGATTATGTCATGGATCCTGAAGCGAACAATCGGGACGTGAATGTCACCACAGCTATGATTGGCTCAGGTGGCTGCTGGACTGATCACCACCTTATCCATTCCACAATGTCCATCAGACTACACAAAGAGGAAGGTTCAGTAGAAGCAGACTTGGCCAAGTTTCAACATCGAGAGCCTGGGTGACACGGTCACTATGCTACATCTACAAGTCTCACTTGCTAAAAACTTACCTCAGAATACCCAGAGGACATAGGAGAACACTGGAGTCTGCTTAAATCAACCATTCTCAGCGCCTGCAGTAACACCCCCGGGTACAAGTCTAGAAACCATCAGGACTGATTTGATGAGAATGATGTGGAAACTGAAAGGATCATCTCCAAAAATAAAGGATGACCTTGTGTGACTGGCAGAATGATATCAACTGCAACGCTAAAAGCCGGGCCTATACCAAAGCTGAAGGTGATGCCCAGGAGAAGGTAAGGGAGCTCAAAAACAAATGGTGGACTGATAATGCCTTGGAAATCCAGCAGCTGGCAGATGCCAGTGACACAAGAAGCTTCTTTAGTACCACCAAAGCAGTATACAGTCTAAGCTATTGTGGTCTAAACCCCCTGCACTCTAAAGACCGACAACCACTGCTCAAGAACAACGAGGCAATAAACACTTGCTGGAGAGAACATTTCCATGAACTCCTCAATGTAATATCAATCTTTACCTGGAAATCATCAATCAAATTCCTCACAGACCCATGTAAGGTGACACAGGAGAACATCCCAGTGCGACCAAAGTGCAAGGTGCTATAAGAAGCCTAAGAAACAAAAAAGCTGCTGGTCCTGATAAGATAGCTGCTGAGATCCTAAAGGAAGGTGGCCCACAGCAGCATGAACACAAACAAGCTTTGCTCTTGAAGATTTGGCTCAAAAAACTCTTCTTGGAGCTCAGGGATGCTCTGATTGCGACCATATTGATAAAGGTGACAAGGCTGACTGTGGGAATTACAGAGGCATCTCCCTCTGTCAACCACTCACAAAGTACTTGCATATGTCCTTGTCAATAGACTTGTGCTGTTATCGGAGTAAAACCTCCCTGAATCACAGTGTAGCTTCCACTCATCCAGAGGAACAAGAGACATGATCTTCACAGCACGTCAATTACAAAACAAAAATTGTGAGGAACAGAAACAAACAATTTACCTGGCCTTCACTGATCTAACCAAGGCCTCTGACACAGTTAACCATCAGGGTCTCAAGTGGATACGATCATGATATGACTGCCCTCATGGGCAGGATGCTCAGGATGCAGAGACTGCTGCATGATGACATGTCTGCTACAGTGCTTAGCAACTGTGGACTAGAGTGTGCACCTTTCACTGCAGAGACAGGGATTATGCACAGCTGCATCATCGTACTCACCCTGTCCACCATCTCCATTGTTGCCATCCTCCATCTCACTGGCCAAAACATGCCCAAGGGAATTCAGATCATTTATCGTATGGACGACATGCTGTTCAACCATAATAGTTTCAAGCCAAAGGTCTCCACCACTTCCATTTTGGATTTTCAGTATGCTGATGACAACACCATCGCTGCACACTCTGTGGAAGATCTGCAGAGCATCTTGGATGACTTTGCCAAGGTATAAGCTCCTATGCCTTACCCTTAACATAAAAAAAACACTGGTACTCCATCAACCACCATCCTCCAGTCCCTCCAACAGTAAGGGTTAACAACCATCCCCTGAAAATGTGGATCACTTCCCATATCTCGACAGCCTTCTCTCCTCCCAGGCCAACATCACTGCAGAAATACAACACCCTCTGTGCTGTGCCAGTGGAGCCTGTGCCCGACTCCGAAGAGTGGTGTTTGAAGACCATAATTGATGGGTCCAGACTAAACTTCTGGCCTTCAAACTCAGTTATCCTTCCCACACTGCCATATGGAGCTGAAACGTGAACTACCTACAGTAGACACCTTAATGCACTGGAACAACTCCACAGAGATCCCTATGAAAAATCCCGTGCTTCACTTGGGAAGACAAGCGCACTAACACCAGTGTCTTGGGAGAGGCCAACGTAGCCAGCATCACCAGAACCATAATTCAACAACAATTCTGATGGACCAGCCACAAAATCCAAATGCCCAACGCATGTCTACCAAAACATATCATGTACTTGCTGCTGAAGGAAGGTCAGCATGCCCCGGTGGCCAAAAGAAACACTTCAATGATAACATCTGGACCAACCTGAAGAAACTCCACATTGACATCAACAACTGGGTGGACATGGTTACAAACCAGAATCACTGAAGAACCATCAGGTTCATATATGCCATGGAAATGATCTCCGCCATGCCATTGAATAGAAGGACAGACAGAATATCAGGAAGGCCCACCTACCACCAACTCCAACCACCATGAACACTCACCAATTCCCACACTGCAATGGAATCTGTGGATCCCTGATTGGCCTCTTCAGTCATTTGAGGATCCACAAGTAGATGTCCTTATGGAAGGCAATCATACTCAACCCAAGAGATTGCCAATAAATGTACCAGATCTCAGCAGTGATAATCAGGTATCTTGTTATGTTAAAAAGCATAAGGTGTTTGCCTTTGAAGCCATGCACAATTCAATTTAATCAGAATTCTTCTCAGAATTACACAGTTAAAAACGCACATCTTCTGTTCACTCCTTCATAAAATTATAACTTCTTCCCCAACCCTAATCACCTCTTACCACACAATAATACGTCTACGTAATGTCATTGGCTTCTGCACAATAATGACTGCAGCTATTACTGGTCACTTCAGAGAAAGACTCCACACCTT